AAATTAATGGACGTCCACATTAGATGTTGGTTAATTTTAAAATTCAGGTCAACAGAGAATGCTAATTGGTTTGAACAATGTGTACTAGTGGTCAAATTTGAAAGCAGATCGGCACTGAGTGATTTAATTGCACTAAATTAAAGATTTTTGAATTTATAATTAAATTTAACAGTGCTCTCGGGTTAGGCCGGTTAGCCGGCGTGAACGCCCAAAATTTGACAAATAACAATTAAACCTGGTAAAAATAGTCAATGGTCAACTGTATAGACTGTATAGTCTGTAATGTAGAAGGGTAGATTAGTACGTGTATTATTCTTTGCTCCTCCCAAACAGTGTACACCGACGGTTTGACTAGAAAGAAATCAAATTGGGTAATTCCAGTTTCTTTTAATTTATGTAAGTCACGTGGTCTGGTGTCAGAAAAGTAATGGCTCCTTGCTTCCTTTTGGGCTAGTATTAGGACCTACAATGGACTACTCCCAGTAGCATAGAGCTACATGTACAGAAATATATTGTATTGTACTTGGACAAACAACACATAATATGGGATGGGTGGGTGATTTTTTGACATTATTTTATCATCCACATGGGACCCACCATGTGAGTAATGTGGTGAACTTTTGTACAATCATTTCTGTACAAAGGGCGTAAGGCGTATTCCATAGTCATTTTCATCTAAAAATAAAAATTGTCGAAAAATTGCGCCATTGATGCAATCTATTGTTCGAGTAGCGAGTTGGCACTTTTGAATAAGAACAAATTGATCCTTCAGTTTGGAAATTCTTACTCTCATTGGACCATTTGTATCTATATGCATCAGGATCCTAATTTCGTCGGCTTGAATGGTTACTATGAGTATTTTTTAATTATTTTTTATTTTTAAAAATCGGTGGCCGTTAACATTGTTAATGATAATCATGTCAATCTCTTTGGACCTATCTTGGCAAGTTCCGTGTCCTGACTACGTCGTGGAGGTTGCTTGCTCCCCGGGGTTCCCCCAAAAGCACCATTCCCACTAGCTACAAGGAAGAGCTACCTAGTCTCTTACAAAAGAAGTTGTGGACTCAGATATTGCACAATGAATCTTTAAAAGCTAGGGTCGTGGTTGGTTTCTCGTTTTCGGGTCATTTTCTGTTTTTCGTTTTCGAAAATGCGGAAAACGCGTTTGGTTCGTCATCTTCAAAAATGCATTTTCGAAAACGAGTTAAAATTTATAACTGAAAACGCAAAACGACTTTTTATCGTTTTTAGTATTTTCAGTTATAAATGTCGAAAACGCTCAAAACGAGCCATTTTCGGGGAAAACTAAAAATCTTTTTGAAAATAAAAATGGAAACCAACCGCACTCTAAATTTATAAAGAATGTCCTCTCTCTCTCTCTCTCCTTTTTTTTTTTTTTTTTTTTTTTACGTGGGAACCCGTAGCTGCTAACCCTTCGAATGCGCACTGGATAAATGTTGCATAGATTTTACATGTCTAACTTTATAAAAAATTAGGTTTTATTTTGAAAATCTGGGAAGCACAGACACGTTGCCGGCGTCGACGTGTCGGTGCCCGACACGTATCGGACACCGACACATCGCCGACGCGTGTTGGAGTTCCTTGCGGCGTGTCAGAGGGCTGGAAGGAAACAGTGATGAAGAAGTGAAGAAAGAAAGAAGAAAACGGTACCCGTGATTGTGTGTACTGTTCCGGTAACTGTGAGGAAGAAAAGAAGAAGAGAGAGGAGAGATATGATGAAAGAGGCGTGTTTGAAGCATTTTCCAGAATTGATTACCTTTTTGTACACTCTACTTTACAAAGCAAACTAATGGTCACTGGACACTGGTGCACTGTACAATTTTTTTTTAGTATATATTACTTTTTTTTCAACTTTATTTTTTAATAAAGCAAGGTGCAAAATTTTATGTTAATTAATTATTTTACCATTTCACCCTGCATGTATGAATTTAATGTCATTTTATTTATATTTATTATTTAATTATTTATACACATGATACAATAAGTATAAAAAAAATTATTATTATTTTAAATTATTAAAATTAATATTTTAATCAACGTGTCGAAGACGTATCGTGTCGGAACTTTTTGGAAAAATAGCGTGTCTACGTGTCCGTGTCGATGCTTCTTAGTTGAAAACAATGAATCTTACATATTTATGTGATCAATTAATTGCTTCACCCAAAAATTTAAGTTTGAAGACCAATAGGTAGAATCAAGACAAGAGATTGTTGAACATCATTTTCATTATTTATTTATTATTTTTTTTTTTTTTTGAGACAGTTTCTCTTGGTGTCACTATATTTATCTATTAGGATTTTTGTATAATATTCTTCTTTCATGGTATTGATTTACCGTAGATCATTTGAGAATAACGAAATTGAGAATGCTAATAAAAATAGTTGATATTTGATTTGTTTTGCAGTGAATGCAAATGAATGCTTGTTGACAAGAATGCAAGAAATGTCTTTGGATTACCATTTTAAAGTTGAGCAAGAAGTGGGATCATCTACTCATGCCTTCTTTGGCTTCAATGGTGGGTTAATTCTAATCTTCTTAATTGTACTTGGGTATTAGCTGAGTAACAAAGTAAATTCTTTTATGATATTCAGCCGTCCGGGGTAATTTTTTCAGTCCTCGCTATTGGAAATGATTTTTATCCAAACGTTAAACTTCAAAAATCAAAATTTATCAAGTCGAACTCCAATATGTGATTCATAATAGAACTTGGATTACCGTGGAAAAGCTTTCACTCTATATGAAATAGACAATTCTTGTAGATAACAAACTAAATAAGTTGACGTGAGTTTTCAAGTGCTCGTCCTCGTCCTGGAGCAAAGGAAAGGCAGTTTTTGCCAAATGAATTGATTGTTAGTGGGATTAGCGAATGTATTGTCTTAAATAAGAGAAACAAACAACTACCGTGTATATTTTGTTCGAAGACGGATACTGTTGTTCGCAATCCCTCATGTTAGGTTTCTATGCAAAGAATTTTATTGACTTGTTCGCTTGAATTTAGCACTTCTTAATGAATGTACCTTTAATACTACCAACTCACTCTGTCTCAGGCACCGGTGGAGTATGGAGAATTGCTGCAATAAATGAGGCAGGAGGATGGAAAGACAGAACTACAGTAGAGGACATGGATCTTGCTGTTAGAGCTGGTCTCAAGGGCTGGAAATTTGTTTACCTAGGAGACCTTCAGGTATGTGGTTTAATTAAGAATTTTTATTTTACATTGTGCTCACATACTTTTATAGTGTGTTTGGTATAGTGGGCTAGAGAGTATGGAACCGTATTTAGGAAGAAAAAGATGCTTCTACCATACGGTGTAAATCTATCAAGTACACAGTAAATATGCCCTCAAGTTATTCTGGTAGAGCAGTTCAAAAACGGAGAATAGATTAGGTTAGCAAAGAAGGATTCTTATAGCGGACTCGACCTGGATTTTATCAGAAGTAAAGCTTAGTTTGTTGTTTTTGCTGCGCATTGTTTCATACTGATCGATATTCAATTCGTTATAGGTTAAAAGTGAACTTCCTAGTACTTTCAAAGCCTTCCGTTTTCAGCAACACAGATGGTCTTGTGGTCCAGGCAATTTATTCAGAAAAATGGTGATGGAAATTGTCAAAAACAAGGTTTGTGAACAATTCTTCTTCTCTTTTGGGTTGAAGACAAAATCTAGAAATTTTGTGCTCTATTAAAAGAGAACTCAATGCATTTTTTTTTTTTTGCATTTTTGCAGAAAGTTTCGCTACGGAAGAAGTTCTATGTGATCTACAGCTTCTTCTTTGTCCGAAAAATCATAGCCCACATGTTTACTTTCTTCTTTTACTGTGTGGTGCTTCCTTTAACCATTTTAGTACCCGAAGTTGATGTGCCGAAATGGGGAGCCATTTACATTCCTTGCATAATCACAACTCTAAATTCTGTTGGGACTCCAAGGTCGAGTACTTAGCATTCTCGTCTCATTTCCCAATTAATTCATGCATTAGTGCCATGACTATTCTCTCTCTCTTTTTTTCTTTTTTGGGTAATAACATACGAGAATTTGTGATGTTCAGGTCGTTCCACTTACTGTTCTATTGGATTCTTTTCGAGAATGTGATGTCTTTTCATCGAACCAAGGCAACCTTTATTGGTTTGTTTGAGGCTAAGAGAGCCAACGAATGGGTTGTCACTGAAAAACTTGGAGATGCTCTCAAGAGCAAGTCGAATGCCAAAGCAACACCAAAGAAATTACCCCTATTTAAGCTTGGTGACAGGTAAAAGTATCCTGCTATTCTTGTTTGGCTAAGCTTAAAAAGTAAAATTTACTTCGTTATCAAACTTGTTTGAACGTGTTGCCTTTTTCTCTACTTTTAAGTAAACGAAGTTATTTCTTTTGAAAGTAACTCTTACCTTACTATTAAAAAAATAACTTTGAATTATAGGCACCTTTTCCTCTCCTAGCTACTCATTTCTTTTGATGCTCGCAACCGGCAGTAGAGTAAAACTCTGTAGACTTTCGGGCAGTATCATATTTAAGTTTGAACTTCAAGTCATTGAAAAGATTTTCCCGGTTTTATGGAAATTTACAGTCCTGGTCGTCAAACTTTAACAAATAAAGTACATAGGTCTCTAATTAATGTTTGTTGGCCCTTGGTTCCTCAAACTTTAATTTCTGGTGCACATTGATCACTGAATGGAAAACCATCAATTTTCCAACAAAGAGTCAGTTGCCTTGCACACGATCACTCATTTGAAAATTATTTTCTTCTCCGTGGACACATTTCCCTTCGAAAACAAGATATAATGTGCCTAGTTCGTGTGCTTACTGCTCTCATGCATTTATAATCCTTAACAATGCATACTCATGAACTCATTGAATTGAGAACCGAGACCTCATAAGGCACGAATCTCGGGGGATGATCTTTATTGAATGAGTGGCCTAAAGGTGTTTGAATGATAACCTAAACTGACGCATATCTTTTATATTTTCCAGAATATTACTTCATGAGCTGGGGTTCGCGGTCTTTCTATTCATCTGTGGATGCTACGACTTCCTTTATGGAAAGAACAACTATTTCATTTACCTTTTCCTTCAAGTTATCACCTTCACAATTGCAGGATTTGGCTATGTTGGGACAATAGTCCCGAGCTCTTAACCAGTACCAGCTCTGAATTCATTCGTGTTTTATCAGATTCCTCTCTAAGACTATCTTCCCTTATTTCAAGCCTCAACAAATTACAGACACCATTCCTTCACTTGATTGCATTTTGAAGACGATCAAATTCTTGGTCTAATAGAGCAGAGAACATGGGATTCAGTTCGAAAAACTGCCAGGGAAATTGCAGAAAAGCATCAAGGTAGCTGTTTTGGATCAGCAGTTTACACTGTCAAGAACAGGTTGAAGTAGCAGAAATATCATAAAAATTAGGGGGGTAAAAAATAAATAACGTGCTTTTTCCCAGTTTATAATTCTTTAGCTGTGTGAACAATTGTGTTTCATTTCCTTTCAGCTTATAGAGAAAATAAGCTGAAAATCACATCTATAATTTTTTTTTCCTTTCCTTTTTTCATACTATCAATTGTAGTTTCTATCTGTATCTTTGGTCATTTATTATATTATTTAGGCTTTTTTCAAATAAAGGATGAATATATGTCTGTAAGTGGGGATGTAAACTTTGATTATAGATTTGCACTTGGCAATGGTGTTAATGTCTTATTGTATACTTTAGTGCATTGGAGTGGACATATAATTTGTCACGTGCCTCTATTTCTTTATACCATCAAGTTGTGCATATCAACAAATATATCATTTCTTAACATATTTTTTTCATAGATTATTCACAATAAATACGAGAAAATTACTCTTTCCAATAAATAATTATATCTTATAAATCTTTTTAAAATAGCTTTGAAAGGGAAACAAAAGTCATTACAATTATTAACATCTAGGTATTGTACTAAATCTTTGTGATTATGACATGACATTAACCAAACTATTGAATCCATAGAAATGATAATTTTGCCATGGGAAACTCGAATTAATCTACTTGTACATTATTTGTATACATCTTGGATAACATTTCAATAGGTGTCAAAATTGAGGCCACTGATTGTTTACAATGTTAAAAAAATCAATGACAAAATTGTGTGCTACATGATAAAATGTAAATCATAATGTCAACTAAAATGTAAGTGTGGCAAAATTGAAGAGAATTGCACCCCCTCCCTCCAACATTTCCACCCCCTTCCTTATTTTGGTTGACAACCCCCAAGCAAAAAAATTGGCCTACAAGTGCTCGATTTGGATTCCTTTTAGTTTAAGTATTATCATTAGAGCCCTGAGCCCTAAATTAGTAAAGAGTCACATGATCCATTCCTTGATTTGTTTAAGGGTTATCGAAACTTCAAGCTAAAGTTGACGTGCCACACATCAATAATAACTTTGTGTTACTTTTTTTCCTTCTGGATAAACAACGGAAACAACTTAAATCTCAAGTTTGTGTTTTGTAAAAGAAGACAAAGTTTTTGATTAAAAAATGAATCTAGGAAATGTATTAAGGAGAAAATATAAATTAATAAACTTACACCATGTTTCAACATTTATTATTATTATTATTATTATTATTATTATTATTATTATTATTATTATTATTATTATTATTTTTCATTTTTTTTTTGTGTAAAATGAGTTATATGATAGTGATTTTTTTAAAGAATGTGTAGTTAAAAGTAAGGAAAAATTTTAAGTTTATGTGCAAAATTGTTTTACTAGGAGAATATGTGATTAAAAATGAATTTAAGAAAAATTAGATTTTTAGAAAATGGGGCAAAACAGTCCTTTAATAACTACTAGTTTTATTTTGGAAAATTTAAAAGAAGCTAGTTCTTAAACCATTAATATAAATCACTTGTAAAATATACATTGCTCCATAAATATATCAAGGGATCGTTTGACATAACTTTTGATTTTGATTTAGATTTATTTTATCTTCCTATAGAACTGTTTTTGAAGAAAGCTGCCTTAATTTTTGTTTAAAAAATAATTTTTAAAAGAGCTTTCCGTTCCAAAAGTAATTTTAGATGAAATCATATAAGACCAAATTTATCGAAAACTTTTGCTAACAATAAGAACCACTCTTATAAAATTAGTGAAACGACTTCATAAGAAGTTTTTGGATCTCAAAAACTCATTTTATTTTTTCAAAAATCATGCCAAGCGGGCTTTAAACTGGAAAGGTGATTGGTAACTTTTGTTGAACATGTAAATTCTCTTACCTTGATTTGATTTGTCAAGCTTAAAAATGATTTTATTTTATCTAGTGGTATAATCTATTCAACTCAAAATATTTAGTGGTGGTTGTTTTTCCATTTCAAATAAAACGAGTCCAAATAAGT